ATCCAACCTCTGATACTTGATAGCTGTGTGATCCTGGGCAAGTCACTAAACCTCTGCCTACCACAGTTTCATCATCTATAAAATGGGGATAATAATAGCACCTACCTCCTAGGGTTGTTTTGAAGATTAAATGAGATAATATCTGTAAAGCATTTAACACAGTACCTAGTACTTAGTAGGCACTTAATAAATACTTGTTTCATCTGCTCCTAGAATACCTTGTTGATTTACCAGTCTACTAATCCTATCAAAAAAGGAAATAAGGGTAATCTTGGATAATCTGTTCTTGATGAAGCCATACTAGCCCTTTAAAATGATCAATATCATTTCTAGATATTCACCATTTAACTTTGTGAACATATACTACCCATTCTGTCAATAAAATAGTCTAGAGGAGCAGCTAGGTGGCACAGTGGATAGAGTACCAGCCCTGAAGTCAGGAGGACCTAAGTTCAAATCTGGCCTCAGACCAAACACTTGAAACTTACTAGCTGTGTGACCCTGGGCAAGTCACTTTACCCCAAATGCCAAAAAAAAACCAAATAGTCTAGAATTTGGTTAGGAATTCAAATCAAGCTCCTTGGCCTATATAGTATGTAAACTCCACAGTCTTCCCTTTTTTGAACATCAAAATAGCATTAGTCCTTTTCATATCCTACAGAGCTCCCTGCCATTCTCCCCATTCTTTTATTCAAAGATCCTTGTCAATAGCTCAAAAATCACATCTGCTCATATTTTCAGTACCTAAATGTAAAGTTCATCTGGACCTAGTGATTTAAATTCATCAAGAACACAACTACTATGTCCTCATTTGTCTCTCTATTCAATCCTTCTCTGTTCTTGTTCCAAAATGGACACTGATATTCATATGGCAATGATCCCATGGCTCCCCCTCTAAACAAATACTGATGATGGACTTCCAATAGTTGTTTCTGTCCACAGCATCCCTGTGACCTGACAGTACAAATGAGACTTATTATACTCAAAATGTCTAGTTCTAGTTCTGTTTCATTAAGGGGACTATGTCTGCTTCTTAATATAATCCTTACTATACCCCTGATACTCACCTGACTGTAAGTGGAATCTTAGGTACTTTTTTAGAGACCTTGAGGAAATCTGTACCTCCACAGGTATCTGTGAAGTACACCCCAGCTACACTGGTCACCTGATTTCCAGGGAAGCTGGACAAAACCTTGTCACGTCCGTGTTGACTGGCCCAATACCAAGCTTGGCCCCCAATGAGTAAGCCCCCACCATTTTTCACAAATTGAATCAACTCTTTGGCCAAGGAACTGTTATAGGCATTGCTGCAGTAAACTCCTAGGGAGTTCTGAAGGCCATCCATGGTCTGCACCTCTATCCCAGAGTCATGGAGAATGCCAGTGAGAGGTTCCACAGATGTGTGCACTCCAACAGCAGTACCTGGGCTGAGGTTGAGCCAGCCCACAGCATTGCAAAGAAACTGAGCCAACATGCTATCTTGCAGGTAGCCTTCATGGGACATGACTACCATTCGGCCCTGGCCATAACGCGAGGCAGCAATAAGGACCTGGCCATTCTTATTCACCAGTACTGGGAAGGCAGCTTCACCCACCAGCAGCAGTTCACAAGGAATAGGGCCACTGGGGAGATTCCAACGGTTCAGCCCTTTCATTAGGACTTCAAAATCATCTGATGGAGACATCATCATGGCTTTTTTTGCTTGCTGTGGGGAGAGAAGCAAAATTTCAGATTGGTGACATAGCCCTAATCCTGCCCCTCCCTCCACAGAATCTGGCACACAGTAGGTACTTAATAAATGCTTCTATCCTTCTGCTCCTAGAATTCCTTGTTAATGTATCAGCCTACTAACCCTGTCAATAAAGGAAATGAGGTTAATTTGACATAATCTGTTCTTGATCAAGCCATGCTGGCTCATTCTGGTCATCACTTCCACTTCTAGATGTCCACCATTTAATTTTCTGGACATTCACTAATGATCTTTTCAATGAAACCTGCTAGATTTTGGCTAGGAATTAAAGAAAGCTCATTAGCCCACACAGTATGAAAATTCCATTCACTTCACCCCCCCCTTTTTTTTTTGAAAATCAGAAAACATTAGTCCACTGGTCCTCTTCCCCCTAAAAATACTGGAGAAGAATGACAGCAACAGCAGCAGCTCTTTGGTTTGCACAGGTTCATTTGTAGGCTTCAGAGGGATTTATAGACAGTAATTCGTTTCTCCTCTGACCAGGGGATTCTCCCCATTCTACAAGTGAGAAAACTGAAGGGAGGGAGCTCAGTCATAGTCACCAGGGAAGGCAGTAGTTGACACCAAGGAGAATGAATTTTATCCACGTCCTCATAAGTGTATAGTCACACTCGGTCAAACACAGATCATCCTCTTCCATGAAGAAGGAGAGGGAAGGGAACAAGAATTTATCAAGTGCCTATCAGGTACCAAGCACCATGCTAAGAGCTTTACAAATAGTTAACTTGAGCCTTACAACAATCCTGGGAGGGAGGTGCTATTATGATTCTCATTTTACAGTTGAGGAAGTTGAGGCAAACAGAGGTTATGTGACTAATCCAGGAAAATACTGCTAGTAAGTGTCTGAGGCTAAATTTGAACTCAGATCTTCCAGACTCTTGACCAAGGCTCTATGCAGGGTCCTCCAGAGAAGCTTTGGGGTTAAAGGAAAGGACAATCAGCTCAGAGAGGCTTCCCACAGTTATCACCCCAGGCAGAATCTAAACTGTACTGGAAACTCCCTGGTAGGATTCCAGGAAAAGGAAGATTAGAAATAACCAAGCTATGCCAGACTCACTTCCCCACAGGCATTGGAGATGTGCACATCATATTACCTTCCACTCCATACTTACTCTCTCCTTAACTCCCCTCAATCTATCTTCTGTCCTACCTGCTGTTCTGAAACTGTTCTCTACGGGTATCACTGACCTCCTAATTTCCAAATCTTCTGTCTTTTCTCACCCTGACCTCTCTGTAACATCTGCTACTTTTCACCATGGACTCCTTCTTCATGCTTCCCCTTTCTAGGACATTACTCCCCCTGGTTCTCCTACCCCTGAGACAATGCTGAGATCAATAGTCTGCTGGAAGAATTCTTAAGAGATCATTGAATCCATCTGTACCCCCTTCCCCTAGACTTGGGTCCGTTTTACAGATGATGAATGGAGGATGAGAAGAACTGATTTGCCCAGACCTCGCAGGAAGGTGTGGCTGACCTGAGTAGCCTTGTTCTTCTGAGTCCTGGCCCACCACACTCTGGTTGTTTCTCCAGGATCATAAACCTCCAGGGCTAGAAGGAACTTTAGACATCATTTAATCTCACACCTTCCTTTTTACAGATAAGAAAGGGAATTTCCCAGAGTCACACAGGAGTGTGTCAGAGGCATGTGAATATATTTTCTCTGATTCTAAATCCTCTAATAGTCTGTGGGTGTTCCCCAGCCCAGGATTCTGAGACTTGCCTTTGAACTAGCTGAGTGACAAAATGATTCTCTGATGCTGCTCTGGAAAGGGGATGTGTTTCAGACTCTGAAGGGGGCAGTAAATATGAAGGGGCAAATATAAAGAGACAGAGAAAAGACCCAAGATCAATGAGTAGACCTCCTTTGTCACTTTGGGGGTGCAGAGATTATTCATTTATACTCACACCCCATTTGTAAGCCCATAGATAACCGTCTACACCCCGAAGCTGTTACCTGCTCACTTCCTGTCTCATGCACCCAGCCCAGAAAACCAGATTGCTCTCTTTTGGAGGGGCCAGCAGGGGGAAGATCCTTCTGTCCAAGACCCAGAGAAAGGAGAAAACTCACACTCCCGTCCTTCTGCTTCAGCTCCGGGATCACAAGTAGAAAAGAGAAGGCTCCTGAGAAGTGAAAAGCAGGAAAAAGCGAGACTAAACACTTACACTTCAGGAGGGGGTGTGTCTGACTTTCCCTCCTTTCCACTTCCTGGTCGGCTTGGCTACCGGCCTGAGTGAGGTGGAGCTTGCTGGGAGACAGAGCTGCTCCCTGTGCCTGCTTATTTCTAGGCCTCTGATGTCATTCAGGGACTGTGGGCCTAAGCATCATGCTATTTAAAAAGTGGCAGGGGACGGGGAGGGAGAAGGGGAAGGGGGAACGAGAAGGGGAAGAGGAAAAGGGGAAGGGGGGAAGGGGAAGGAGAAAGGGAATGATAAAGACTGAAGGGGACGTGGGGGAAGAAGAGGGTCAGAGAGGGATTCCGAGAAGAGGGAGAAGGGAAAAGGGGATGGAGAGAGGGGAGGAGGAAAAGGGAGTG